CTATTTTTCCCACCAAACACTCATATTCTTCTTCGATCTTTTCTATTTTCTTCTCCTATCTTTAAGTTGAAGGATTTAGGACTTCAAGTTTAGTTTGGGTTAAGCGAAGGTAAGATTATTAACCCTCACCATTCAAGCTTCATTTTAAGCTCAATTTCACTAGTTTTTATCCATAGAGAAAAAATGGGCGTTTTAGAGGGTTGTGAGAATCTATGGATTCTATCAATGTTTTGGATTATAAGGAGTTATTTAGAATATACCCAACCTATAGATGGATTAGTAATCCATTTTCTTACCTTGTTTAGTGAAGGAAATAAAACAGAGTTACAAATCAAAAGGAAAAGAAAAGTTGATCATTGGTTTAGTTTAGGAGAGTTCTAGCCACTAAAGAAGTAAGGTAACACCTTTACAACTTTCTATACTCTTAGTGAGTCATTAGAAGTTCAAAAATAGTTTAAATGGTTGAGTTGAGCATGATAAACATTTTCATGGTGAATTTCTTGTTTTAGAGTTATAAATGTGTTTAAACACTCTATTATGAGCCTTGTTGATTCAATAAAACCTTAAGCATGTTTGTGGACCTCACTAAGGTCTTCGAGTTTAAAATATAGCATTTTTTAGTATGTTTCTGATGACTTATGCAAGTAGAGTATCAATACTATTGGGATAGTATCGGTACTTGTTCTTCGGTTTGGGTAAATTCGTGTATTTCTGGGAAAAAATATCGATACTCTTTCAAAAGTATCAAAACTTTGGGTCATAGTTTCGAAACTTCCATAAAGTTTCGAAACTTGGCAGAACAGAATGTTTAAAATTATCGATACTTATATAAAGTATCAAAACTTTTGCAAGAGTATCGATACTCTTAGGGTAGTATCGATACTTTCAGTCTATTTTAGGCAAAAATGTCAGTTTTTAAGGGAATTAGACTCGAAGTACCCCAACACTTCTTTTTATCATCAAATAAGATTGCAAGTGAGAATATTAATGATATTAATTGCTCTTGGAATCAAGATTTATTAGGATGACATAAAAATAGCCTTGGATAATGCTCGGGAAATGACCAGGACACCCGAGTTCCTTTAGAAAATGCTAGCATTATCGAAAGTATAGATTCATTCTGGATATATTCTTAGGTAAGGTCAAGGCCCTTCTGGCTAACTATGTTTTTGAGGCCTTAATACTATTTAGAAGAAAGGGTGGGTTAGTCAGGGTATGGTTTTCGATGCAGAGAATTTTGGGGCCATATTCAGGGTAGACTAGAGGATGTGTGAGCTCCGAGCTACAGAACCCTCAGTCGCACCATGATGTCTACCATATTATAGAGAGTGAATACTCACTAAAGCAATTTTAAAACATACTAGCTTGGGCGCAAGGTCCAACACTCAAGGAGTGAGCTAGTAGAACAAAATAGATAGTAGAACAAAATAGATAGTATAACATAAAGCAGTAGACTTGATAGCTTGAGCATGTCATTAACACTTTTAGTATGAGTTAGTTGTTAGTGTGGAACTGGGCTAGTTAGCTCAGTATTTGGAACTTGTTTCCTTATGCAGGTTATACGAGGAGCAGTCTAAGGACTTTTTGGGACCAGCAGTGATCCAGACCCAGTTAATGTAGAGTACGTCCCAGTTCACCTTTATAGAGGGCATGTATACTTGTGAACCCTTTGTATATTTTTTATGGGTCATTTTTAGCGATAGTCTGTATAATTTGAAATAATATTTTTGAGAGCTCCTGATGTAAATCATTTTATTTAAATTGTGGTTGATTCATTTTAGCGTGATTATTTACAATGGTCATTTTTAAATCGAAAAAAATTAAAAGAAAAATTTGGTTAACCACTCCGGTGGTTCCATGTAGCATTCTAATAAGTTGACTGTGTATCGTACTGGTTTAGGTTGTTACAGTTAACACATATGTTCCCACCCTCAAAATTATTTCTGGATCCGCCACTGGTTTTAGTGGTGGTTTAAGAGACTAAGTGAAACCAGCTCGTTTTGAAATATTTAATCCTCAAGATATGTTCTAAACTATTCTATAAGCCTCTTAACAACATTAGTAACGCTGGTGTTTGATTTTTGTGTAGCGAAAGAACTTGGAGAAAGCTCCAAAGCCAAATAAAATGACCTCAAGATATGTTCTAAACTATTCTTTAAGCCTCTTAACAACATTAGTAACACTGGTGTTTGATTTTTGTGTAGCGAAAGAACTTGAAGAAAGATCCAAAGCCAAATAAAAGGAAAAGCATGTCTTGGTTGAGTCTTACATACTTCCAACAACTTAGAAACCTAAGATAACTTACTTCTAACTCAACTCTACCACGTATAGATCATTAGATAAGTTTTTGGTAGGTTGCATGAGTTATGAAGCATGTCCATGGTAGTTGCATCATTTGATATTTTCAGCATGTTAAAAGACCTTTTATGATCCCCTTTAATCCTCATAAGACTTTAATAATAAATAAGAACCTCAATAGGGCCTTTACGATAGAAAGTTAGCATTTTTGTGCCCAAAACAGGGTATTTCTGGGTAAGAGTATCGAGACTAGAAGAATAGTACCGATATTGTTCATTAGCTAGAGTAAAATAGGGAGTTTTGGGAAGAGAGAATCTATACTCATTCATGGAGTATTAATATTCACAGGGTCGTATCGATACCGAGGGCACTTATAAGATTCTAGAATACAATTTTGGTGTCAGTACTCAAGGGAGTATCGATACCCAGGTAAGTATCAATATTCCCAATAGGGGTATCGATACTGAGGTATTTTTCAAAAAATCGAACCTAAATTTTGTATCGATACTCATGACAGTATCAATACTCTAACCCCCAGAGTATTGATATTCGATCCAAGAGTATCGATACTACCCTCATATTTTAGTATATAATAGTCAGTAGGTATCAATACCAAAAAGGTGGGTATCGATACTTAGGGGATAATATCGATATTGAAGGTCATTATGGGTACCAGCAGATATTTTTGGATAAGTAATCCAATGATTGGGTGATTAGACTTAAGGGGCCCAATAACATCAAAATATCAGCAAATAAAACTACAAGTGAAAACAATAATTAAATTCATAACATCTAGACACAGTAAAAGCTAGGATTACATAAAACTAGTCTTGCTTAATGCTCAGAAAACAAGCAGGACACCCGAGTCTCTTTAGCATAATACGACAGTCTCAGTTGGATATCCCAGTCAGTGCACAGTAGTTGACTGGACGCATATACCCTAAGAGTTGACGGAGTAAGTTGGCTGGGTGTACGTTCCAATGTAATTCTGAATCTCACCCCAGATACCCAAAGGTATTTTAAGAAGGCTAAAGAGGTGTGTGAGTTATGAGATGCATAACCCTCAACCACACCATAATGCCTACTAAGCAGTTCATATAACCATTTTACATGTGTTCATACCTTATGTCACTAGCCAGCTCATCTAGTGAACGCATGTAGTATAATATAGTTATTAGTATGACACTGAGCTTGTAAGCTCAACGTATGTAATGTGTTTCTGTGCGCAGGTTCTTAGGTGACTAGTTTAGGAACATTATCATCGACAACAGTTCCAATTCAGTCGAGGCATCAGAGTACATCTTGGATTATTCTTAGAGAGCATGTACTATTTTATAAACCCTTATGTATTTCATTCGTAATTCTGTTTTGTAAAACTCAATATTTTATTATTCTAAATGTTTTGAGAGCTCCTCGTATTTGTAAACTTTATCACTATGTCTTACTTTATTTTACTATGGATGAATTTCTACTTGATGTTTTACAGTTAGTTTTAAAGAAAATTTTTGGGTTAGCCACTTAGATGGCCCTGTGTGACATTTTAATCCATCAGTCTTCGGGTTAGACTAAATTAGGGTGTTACAATTAGATACTAAATATAAAAAAATAAATATTAAAAAATTAATTATTTGTACAAATATTTGATACTAATTTTATCAATATGTTAATTAATATTTGCAAACCCTAAAATATTTAGGTCATTAGAGGAAACTTAAGTTCTAAAATATAGGCTTAATACACTTTTTAGTGCCTAAACTATACCTCAAAATACGATTTGGTGCTTAAAGAATTTTTTACTAACAATAGGATCCTAATGTTTCCAATGTTACACTTTTAGATATATGGATCGTAACAGCCGTCAATTTGACCATTATCTGATACTTGTCACACATATAAAATTTCAAAATTTATTTTATTTAAAAAATTTAATATTATAATTAAAAAATCCAAAAAACCCAAATTTTACTTCTTTCGCCCCCAATCGACCACTATCGGTGGTGACTGTCACCATTGATACCATCAGAATTATCTCACCGTTGTGACCAAAATCCAATCCCCCACCCATTGTGAAATTATGTCTATCAACTTGAAAAATATTGCGAATGATCGTCAAATTTCTAGGTTTTTTGTTTCTATTTTTTAGTTATTTTAACAGCTACAATCATCCGTACATTACATGACTACCACTGTTGAGTTCCTCATTCTACTCCAAACAAAATCTGACCAGTGGTTGCCCTTTGTTGTTGGCAGTGAGGGATGAGAGGAAGAGAGACGATGTGGGGGTGTGTTTTTAATTTTTAAAATTATATTTTTATTATTAAAAAATTAAAAAATAAAGGTAGATATCTAAAAGTATAATAGAAAAAATTATATGCATTTAAAAGTGTAATAAAAAAAAAGTTAGTACCTATTGTTAAAAAAATCTTTTAAATCATATTTTAAGGTATAGTTTAGGATATAAAAAGTGTATGAAGTAAAAAAAACAGACACGCACTGTTTTGACGGAAGCACGATGAAGAAAAAGTATGGGACCCTGGAGGAAATAATGAATATCAAATGGGATAAAATATTATTATAACCCTCCGGTTTGGACCCACCATGGTGACTTCCAGTGTGTATCCAGGAAGCTCGTGTGAAATCTCCATGGCTTCTTCAATTTGCCTTCTTCTTTCTCTTTATATACTCTTATCCTCTACACTGATCAACTCATCAAACCCACAAACGAATGGCTTCTTTTGAAGAAACATCCGCCTTGGAACTCATAACCCAACACCTCCTCTCTGATTTTGATTCTTCCCCAAACCCCCACAAGTCTTCTCTCTGTCATCGCCGTCCTTCTCTCAACGTCACCATCCCTCACCCCACACCGGTTGTTAATGCGGCTGCCGGCGAGAAAAGGAAGCACTACAGGGGCGTGAGGAGGCGGCCGTGGGGCAAGTTCGCCGCTGAAATCAGAGACCCTAACAGAAAAGGCTCAAGGCTTTGGCTTGGAACCTTCGACACCGCCATTGAAGCTGCTAAAGCTTACGATAGAGCTGCTTTTAAGCTACGTGGAAGCAAGGCCATTTTGAACTTCCCTCTCGAAGCAGGTGAATCGAACTCGACTCCGTCTGAATCAACTCATGACTCGTTCTCGAATAAAAGAAAAAGAAAGGAGGAAGAGGAGAGCATGGAGGGTAAAGCAGTGAAGAAGGAAGAGGTGACGGAGACGGAAACGGGAAGTATGACGACGTCGGGGGTATGTTTAACGCCGTCAAATTGGAATGGGTTTTGGGATGCTGTAGATATGAAGGGAATATTCAGCATACCTCCGTTATCACCGTTGTCTCCGTTTGGGTATTCTATTTCGGGACTTGCCGTTATCTAGCCGTTAATACATCGGCAAGGTATGCTGATGTGGCTGGTTGATTTATCCACCGTCTAGTGTGAAGTTAACGGCCGTGAAGAAGTGTTGTCAGTGTACATAAAGAAGAGTTTAGGGTTTCAAAAGCAATGCTGCAACCTAATCCTTTTTGTTGAATTAAAAATTGTATTTGTTTCTTTATTCGTTTATTTAATGAAATATTTTGATTTGAAATTATTTTTAAAATGATATAAATATTATTATATGAATGTTTTTTTAGATATCAATTAATACGAAATGTTTAACGTATGATAGCCTAATTTAAGGTTAACAAAGGGTAAGGAAAGAGTGTAACAAAAATATGTTATAAAAAATAATATTTTTGATTGAGCGCAATTTAAGATATTAATTTTTTATTAATATGTTTTTGTTGCATTTTATAATATTTTCGGTTGACAACAAAAAATATTACATTTTTCATAATATTTTCAATTCAATCGAAAATATTGAAAAATTAATATTTTAAGTTACATTCTATCAAAAATATTATATATTTACATCAATTTTTTTAGTTCCTTAATCATAAATTAGGACACCATGATGAGAAATTCATTGATGGTGTGTAAAGTTAATTATAAGATAAACCGTATAAATATTCATTAATGTTTGAGTAAATTTATATAAATATTAATTAATGTTTGAATAAGTTTTGTTTTTCTCATTGAAATTTTAAATTAATGAATTAGTCATTAATATTATCAATGTAATAAATTGATCATTAACAATTGTTACTAAAAATAATGGAACTCTGATATGACACATTAAACCGATAACGTGAGATTATTTTACATGTTTGACTTTTCAAAGCTTTTGACCGACATTTATGAGAGAAAAAATTAAAAAGAAATATATTCATTTTCTCCCATAGCCACCGTCGTAATCTATTTTCTTCATTCAGTTCATCCTCATCCCTGCTTAACTAAAATATGATCCTCTTCTCACGAAAAATCTTAGAAATGCACCCCTAAAAAAGTTTTTATGTACAACTTGTAGATCCCCGCTTAACTAAAATATGAATCTTATTCTCATGAAGACTATGTCAATGACGTGACTCGATTTGAATTAAATATGATCTGATGTCTATTTGAATTTGAATTAACCTGATATTTAACTGGTTAAGATCCAAATCTTTTAGACCCGAATTGATATTGATCCAAACTGAACATAATCCGACCTGAAATAGAACTGAACTTGATTTCAAAACAACTTGAGAATGACCTAAACAGATTAAACCCAGAATAAACCTAATCAGAGTCGAACTATTCAATACATAAATCATATTCAACTTGATTTGACTTGACATGGTACGATCTAAAACTTAAACAATTACCTAATTTTACATCCTTAGTGAAGTGATGCTGAGGTGAGGGATGATTGTCCCTCATAAAATTTTTGGTAGATTAAGTTTAAGTAAAATTAAATTTTTATCTTCATCGATTTAAATTTGAATAAAATTAAACTTTTATCTTCTTCAATTTTTAAATTAAATATTTAATAAATATTTATTATTTTCAACTTAGATAATTGTTTTCCTAATGTTTGATTTTAATTCAATCCGTCTCTAATTATCTAAGCAGCCTGATCATTATTACGAATAAATATCAACAAATACAATCTTAATAACTTGGGGAAAAGATGCATACATGCAAGATATGATTTGGGGTAGGGTTTTTGGCAACAAGTGGTGGATAGAGGAACTTTTTGCTTGCATCTGGTCATTTCACACTTGGAATTGATGATGAAGTTGTCAAATAAAATGACAATCAACTTTATGAGTCGGTTGGGTGTGGATCCCTCCAAGTAGTCAATCCAATTGCGTATAGAGTTTTGTCTCTTGCAATGTCGACACCATATTGCTTGCACAAGTTGTAAGGTCACAGCAGCCTATTACAAACATATCTGTATATATAAAATTAGGGTCATAGTTTAAGAAACTGATGAATTTAGATTTTATTCGATCTGATAAAATTGTTTTTAAAAGATTTTAAGTTTAATATGTTCAATTTTATAAGAATGAATTTGAGTTACATTAAGTTTGAGTTTAATATGAAAAATTCCTGATCCAACTCACTCGAGTAATAATATAATCTAAAGATATTATAATATCTATCTCTATATTTTTATTAATCAGATCCCTATTTTACCATATATATATATTTATGGATATGGTTCAAACAGTGAAATAAATATACACTTTAAATTAATTCAGATCAAAATGAAATGCATATTTTAAGTCGAATCGAATTCGATCAAGTTTGGATAAGGAATATGTACTTCCGAGTCAAATTGGTAAAAAGATCAGACCCAGTCTAAGCAGTGCCATCTCTAATAAAAACACAGAAACATTTTCACGTATGTTATGTCTAGTGCCAACTTGAACAACCCTATTCAAAGGACCCCATCTACCCCTCGTTTTCTCAAAGGATAAGATCATCCACCCAGCACACATGATTTTGGGTAAAACCGTGTGCACAAACAGTAAAACTCCATATATATATATGCAGTTTTATGCACCATATATTGTTGGAGACCTTTAAAATGGCTACCCTGGAAGAATCAACAACACTCGAGTTCATCCGGCGGCACCTGCTCAGCGACTTTGCCTCCGCCGATGCTTTTATAAACAGCCTGGAGTTCGGTCTATCTCAGGTACACGAAGCTGTTGAGTTAGAGTCTCCGAGTTCCATGATTTCGGACTCAACGAGGAACGAGCAGAAGGTGTCGCTTTCCGAAGAGAGGAAGCGTTATCGAGGCGTACGGAGACGACCGTGGGGAAAGTTTGCGGCGGAGATCCGAGACCCCAACCGGAAGGGAAGTCGGGTCTGGTTAGGTACTTTCGGTAACGACGTCGATGCTGCCAAGGCTTATGATTGTGCGGCGTTTAAAATGAGGGGTCACAAAGCTATATTGAATTTTCCGCTCGAAGCCGGGGAGGGTGGCCAGCCGCCGGCTGCTACGGGTAGAAAAAGGAGAAGAGGGATGGGAAATCAATTCCTGGAAATTGACGTCACGTCGCCGGATAGTATGGCTTGGGATGTGAAGGAAGAAGAGGGTGAACTAGATGTTGATGATGATCAGAATGGACTGACGTTATTAACTAGAAAACGTGTTATGCTGACAGGTTAATGTTGAGCTATATCATTAATGCCTAGTTCGATTCAAATATAAATGCACTATAATTACTATATATTGTCCATCAAATGTATGTAAAGTTTTGTTAAGAGAGTAGTGCATGTTTTCGATTTTAAATTTGCATGTATTCGATTTTAAATTTGTATATATATGTACATTAAATTGGCGTTTTCTCGAAAAATCACCGATGACCGGTATATTTATCAATCTAACACCGGTCAGATTATATTTTTTGATCTAACACCTGTAGCAGCAAAACGCGCTCTTGTCCCGCGTTATATGTTGCTTTAGTGCCACGTGGGGTATAGCGCGCCCCCTGTACCGCGCTATACGCTGACATGGCTTACACGTGGGTATAGCGCGGCCCCTGATCTGCGCTATACGCCACGTAGGGGTATAGCGCTGCCCATGCTCAGCGCTATACCTAGGTATGAATTATATTTAGCGCGAACCAGAATAATTACATATAGCGCGGTGCAGGTACCGCTCCTTATATAGTTATAAATACCATTCGCTCCCCGTTAAGTTTCTCACATCTCCTCACATCTCTCTCCTCTAACTTATAAATTAATACAACAATTCCGTCAACGAGTAATAATTCTGGTAATTTTCTCATATTTGATTTAGAAGTTCGTGCGATTTTTCGTTATAAATTTTGTTATAATTTTTTTATTATACTTATTGTTTATTATGATTATTTGAAAAAATATTATACTAATTATTTTCAATTAATTTTTGTGTTTGTAAAATTGAAAAGCAGGAGCATACGTCAAAATAGTTTTGCGGTACAGATAATAATATAAAATTATATTATGTAAATTATTTACGTTGATGTGTAAAAAATTTATTGTTTATATTTTCGTTCATATATAATTTATTTAATCAGGTTTGTTTCAGTTATTTTTTTTGCAGATATAATATTGCCGCACTTTTAAGCTCAAAGAATGACGCGACTTTCAGCTATTGTTTATTATGATGGTGAAATTCGAGAAGATGAAACCAGCGTTGTTTTCGTATCAAATGAGTGTGTTAAAATATCATTCAAGAGAAACATAACTCTTGAGGAGCTGATAACGAAGATTTCGAGAAAGATTCATGTTTGAAGTAGTAGAAGAATGTCGTCGTTGCAGTACAGATTTCCAACATCATTGTTGCCATTAACTTATACAGCGTTTGAACTTTCGAACAATGATGATGTTCAAATGATAGTTGAAGCTCAAAGTAATTATTCAGATGCCGCTAATGAGATGTATGCATATTTTGTTCAAGTGCGTGTTGTTCGGGGTCAATCTTTAAGCTCCCACTATGGGTTGGGTGAACAAGTTGATCAAGTTGACAGCCCGGCTACAGTAATGTGTAATGATTTTAATGCCATAATGGAGAGACATTCATCCGCAACTCCTTACGATATGTACCGAGGTGGGTCTACGAACAATCCGTATGGCAACATGCGTCCAGTTCAAGGGGAAGGCATTCATCTACAAATTTCTTTGACCATATGGAGATGCCATCGACGCAACCATCTGTGCAGTTTCCATTTGACACGATAGCTTCAAGCTCCAGGGGGAGGCATTCGACTGCGAGTTTTTTCGATCTCAATGTCGATATGCCTTCCAGTTAAAGGGGAAGGCGTGCAAGTAGTAGGTTCTTCGACCTAAATGTGGATAGCATAGAGGAACCATAATCTCCAACAGAAGAACCGTTTCGTGAGCCTGATGTGGATGGTGCTGAGATGGACTATTCATTCACCCATAATCACCGCAATTCAACTCCGATGATGATGAAGTTCCAGGAAATGTGGCATAAACTGACCCTCCTGCACACATATATGAAGCTGATTATGGTGCAATGTATGGGCCAAAATTTGTGGATATACCTCATCTCGGTGACTATGGATATTACTCATCAATAAATAATGGTGAGTTATATTTAGGCATGGAGTTTTCAAGCAAAGAAGAAGTGGTGATGGCTATAAAAAATTACAATATCCGTAATTCTGTTCAGTCCAGAGTCAATCGATCGACGATAGAAAAATATGTATGTTATTGTGCCCGACGCGAAAACGAATGCAATTGGATGGTTCGCGTATCAAAATGAAGAGGAAAAACAACATATGAGAACTAATAGTATACAACGGTCCTCACACATGTTGTGCTGGAGGAGTCAACCAAGATCATCCCAACTTGGACTCTGAAATGATATGCCAAGCCATCATGCCCATGGTAAAAACAAGCTCTCATATAGTTGTTGCAGTGTTGATTTCAGCTATACAATCGCAGTATGGGTACGCTGTCTCCTATAAAAAAGCTTGGTTGGCAAAACAAAATGCTATTGTCAAACTTCATGGAGAATGGGATGCATCTTACAACAAACTTCTAGGTTGGTTTAGGCTGGTGCGGACGTTGAATCCTGGGAAAATTGTGGACTTCGAAACCTCCTATGCATACCATAATGATCGATTTCTTCGCGATCGAAGCCAATTCTACCGGGTTTTTTGGAGTTACCCACAGTGCGTTAATGCTGCCAAATACTGCAAGCCTGTGGTCCAGATCGACGGACTTTCTTGTATGGAAAAAACAAGCAAGTTTTATTATTGGTAGTTGTCCAAGATGACAATCGCAACATTCTTCTAGTTGCTTTTGCTCTTGTCGAATGAGAAGATACAGATTCTTGGGCTTTTTTCTCCGAAATTTACGTGCATATGTTATCACGAGGGAAAACATCTGTGTCATTTCATATCGCAGAGTTGGGATCAAAGCAACAATGGAGTCTTTGGGTCCAATGTGGCAACCACCCTTTGTCCAACATAGGTATTGTCTCCGACACATTGTTGCGAACTATCATGGAAGGTACAAGAAGAATGATGAGCGTCAATTAATTGTGCGCATGAGTAAGTGAAACTGATGTAGTTTGTTTTCTTTCAATCGTTTTAATTTTGCAAAGAAAGTAAGTTAGTAAGTTATACATTTTTTAATCAGGTTACGAACTACTTCCTCGAACGTTTGAGTCAATGCTTCAAGATTTGAGGGCGAAGAACGAGGAAGGATACGATTACATCAGCCTCATCGATAAAGAAATGTGGACGAACGCATATGATGGTGGATATCGATATGGACACATGACGACCAACTTGGCAGAGGCAATCAATTCAACTTTAAAGGGTGCACGTCACTTACCAGTAGCGGCATTGGTAAAGACTACATATTTTCGTTTGGGGGAGCTTTTTGCGAAGCTTGGGGGACAAGCTCAAACCTGGATGCAAGGCGGTCATGTTTATCACCCTAGATTAGTTGCATATCTACAGAAAAAAATTGTTGCATCAAATGGAATATATGTAACAAGCTTCTCTAGAAGGCATGAAATGTTTCGTGTCACAAAGTTGTCGCGACCTCTTCAAGGATTAAAGTTGTGTCATTAAGAGTAAATCTAAGGGACATAACGTGCGAATGCGGGTTTTTTCAAGCTCTAAAGTATCCATGCTCTCATGTGATAGCAGCTTGCTCGCATACACATCAAGACTATAACCATTTTGTGGATCCCGCATACCTACTATCTGAAGTTTTTAAGGTATACGAATTTGAGTTTCCCCCCATAGGTAATAACAAAGACCCTGATGAGGTTCAAGATTGGCTTCCTATTGTACCAAATCCGAGTTTATTGAAGGAGCGTGGTCATCCAAAATCCAATCGAATTCATTGCGATATGGATATTCGAGAAAGATCTAGACAAGACAGAAGATGTGGGCATTGTAGAAACCCAGGACACACTAGAAAAACATGTCCACTTCTGTTGCCATCAAGTAACAATTGATGAGGAAATGATGTATATGTTTATCAAATAATAATTCTTGTACTTTGATTTGCATTTACTTCAAGTTAATGTCATTCGATAATCGCTGATGAAGATTAAAAAAACGAACACAATCATTAAATTTTATCAAACTAATAACAATTTGGTATTTGAATATAATTTTAAATACAACAAACTTACAATAAGAATTAAATGATAAATGACAACCAAATTACAATAACTGATTTTAAATGGTAATAAAAAAAATTAACTGAAATACATTAAAAAAAGTCTAACAAATTTAACAAAATAAAGTAAATACAAATATAATAAAAAAATCTATCGATGCCTGCGACGCGAATGTGTTCCGCAGGGCGGTGGCTGTCGGTCTCGAGGAGGATTTCTTCATATCACTGGTTCTGACTCCTCGCTGTCATCATCATCACCATCGTCGTCGTCATCGTCATGAGCATATACATTAGGTTGATGACGAGCTTATGACGATGAAGCACCTCCATAGAATAAGGACCCTGGAGGTGTATGACTGACTATCCTACCGGCCTGCGAAAACTGGGAAAACTCATAAAACCCAGACATCGCTGAGTGTGAAAACTGTACAGGAGGTGTCTGTGTTGCGCCCATGGGTGATGAGACTGAACCCGCTAGATATCCAGTAATGAACCCTAAGTCAGATCTGCAAACATAGACCCATAATAGCCTCCAGGAGGGGTCATCTGTGACGGTGGTGGCGGCGGGGTTATAAAGCCAGGTGAAGGCAGCGGCGGCGACATCTGGTAATGGAAAGGCGGCGGCATCATATATGGTTGCGGCATCATAAATGACTGCGGTGGCTGCTGTGAAGGTCCTGCTGGTGCAGCTGAGGATGAACCGGAAGCACCTACTCTCCGTCCACGAGTCGGGGGACGATGGTGTTGTGTCGATGAACGTCCCTGTCGACGTCGCAGAAAGGTCTGCCCTCGTGCATCCTCGGGAAGCAGAAACAGTTTCCTGTTACTGTTGAACCACTCATAATAACTGTCAGCAAACATCAAGAGGTCATCAAAAATGGGCTCTCTACGGGGAAGGCGCCGATGTCGATCCTCCCACAACACGACCCACTCATGATGCCTCACCAGCCAATCTGTATCTGTCTTGTCGCGTCTATCTAAGCTATGCAACTCGTCCATATTGCGAGGTGCTTCTGAAATTGGTTGAAAACAACCAAACTGCCAGAGCACACAATCAGTAGAGTGCCACTCGACGGTC